TTGATTTTCTATTCTAACTTGGAAAGTCAGGCATTGAACATCATGGCAGAGGCAGGCACATCTCTGTGAGTTCGAGGCCAGCCTGGTCTACAAGAGCTAGTTCCAGGACAGGAACCAAAAGCTACGGAGAAACCCTGTCTCGAAAAATAAAAAAAATAAAATAAAAAAATAAAGTATGTTTTTTGGAAGATATATGTTACAGAGAAAAATGGATGGGGAAATTTAAATAGGGTGTTTGTGCCAAAAGATATGCAAATTTCTACAGAGAGAAGAGGCTGTCGCTCAATAAGTATTGTCTAGATTTGCTATTGATTGATAGAAAGACAAAACATTCACTAGAAGGACAATCCCAGTGAACAGGGTGCCAGGAATCAAGGTTGGCCTGTGTCCTTGTCTCTCTGTCTGGGTGTGTCTGTGTATTTTAACCTCCAGCTTCCTTGCCCAAAGCTCCCGAACTGGGCGCCAGAACACAGAGCGCAAACACGGGGGTGCGGTGCACGGCATAAAACTGTACACACCACACCACACACACACACACACACACACACACACACACACACACACACGAGGTGAAACAGAGAAAGAGGGAGCAATACATGAAGGAAAGGAAACAGGAAAAGATTTAACCTACTTCCTGTCTAGGTTATTTGTAGTGAATCTTTCTCTGGGTTTAGTCTGATACAGTAAATGTCAAAAGCCCATGGCTGAAGAGATTCTATCATGGGAAATAAATACTGCTATTGTCATTATCATTATTATTATCATTATTTTGCTAAATGAACATGACAGGTCAGCCAAATTGTCTTCTAAATAACTGTATTTATTCTTTATATTGGTACTGCTTTCATTTTGAGGCATAGAAGCTTCTTTGTAGGATTCAATGGTAACTGTAGAGATGCATAAGTAAGCAAAATGCTTAGAATAATTGCTGAATTCTCAGCCAAAAATGGGACATCTATATCATCCCTCTGAGACTCAGAGACTATCACAGAAGAATGTAAGAACTGGAGGGAAGCTGAAGGTGGGAGGAATGGGAAGAATGCTGGCTTCTCCTCATGACTTAGCTGCTTCAGTCCTGAACTCATGGTGGGTGCGATTACCCACACAGCATGGGGCCCATCAGCATCCTGTTATGGGGGCTGAAATAGGCTCAGAATCCCTGCCACCACTGAAGATTTGTAAGCAGATAATGGTTGATGAGAAAGGGAAAGACATTTTCTTCAATGGTATAGTTTCTGATAGCTGGCCATGGTCCTGTAAAGAAATCTCCTGTGTTCTGTAAAAAGCCTTAGTGATAGAGTCAAGGGATCACACACCAAAAATGTCAATGAAGTAGAAGGGAGACTAGTGGATAATAGAGGTTAGTGAGTGGGAGAAGCAGGGCCTCAAAGGGGGAGAGGGGTAATGAAAGGTGAATATGATCAGAATACATTATCTATATGTATGAAAATATACTGAACCCCATTATTATATATAATTAGTATGTGCTAATAGAAAAGTTGGGGAAAACATTTCTAAATTTTCAAAACTATGATCTCAAATAATGTAGGAATTATGCTATATTGCAGAGACATTTTCAAGCTCTCTTCTTAACATCATTCCTTTCAGAAGAAGAGACCATACAGGTTATTTCACTAAACTCTAAGAACAAAACTGTTCTTTTTAGTTTCTGAGAATTATAAAAATAATCTCAAGAAGTTCAGGGTTGAGGAAAGGAATGGCTAGAGTCTTTTTACCAAACACAGTGTGAGCTGACATTGCCTGTAAGTCACCACTGTGGGTTCTACAGCCCTTTCGTTGGCATGGCATATGCTAGAGGAAGGTGGCATTCCTCAGGTGGGCATCACCCTTCAGATCATAGTGAAATGTGAGGAGCGTGAATGCTGTTGAGGCTACAAGAAAAGCTGACTTAGGCAGAGAAAAATGGGGAAGCAGGGCAAAACGTGATAGCAAGACAGCGTGTGCAGAGCCCACCCTCCCAGAATCACTATGAGAATAAGTGAAGCCGACTCTTTGGACACGGACCCTGGGAACCTAGGAATCCTCCTTTTCCACAAACCTACTGCTGCCCTTGTTGAAGGCCTGTCTGACAAATAAAATGCCAGAGGAAACTGTTGTCTCTTTTCTATTTTCAAACCATAAATAACCCTCGTTTCCTGGAAAAGATTGTCTAGACAGAACTATTACCCCTTGAACAAGCCACAGACCTGGCCTTTAAGAACCTTACTTGAAGATGTAAGAAATGCCTAACCACTCAGACTTTTAGAGCCTGGGGGGGAAAACTGCCAGGCATGATCAATGGATGCCTGCTCTCTCGGGTCACAGCCCCTAAGCCTGACTATTAAAGATGCCAGTTCTCATTGTGATAAAACACATTCTCAAAAAGCCACGGGAAGGAAAATTATTGTAATCAATACAGATCAAAATGAAACCGTACAGAGCCACAGAAAGACCAAGTATTATATAAACTCACTCATGGATGGAATCCAATATGACTTCAGTAAACTGAATGGCAATGGAGGGTAGGATGGAGAATGTTGTTCAATGAGTACTAAAGATAAAGGTAGCTCTAACAATAGGGTAAGGATCAGCTTTTTAAGGACTGATTTAACTCCTTAGTGTGTTTTACCTGTATAAATGTTAGTGGACTGCATCCATGCAGTATTCCGGAGTCCAGAAGGCATCAAATCTCTCAAAACTAGAGTTGCAGATAGTTGTAGGCCCCCAAGTGGATGATGGGAACTGAATCCATATCCTCTGTAAGAGGAGCCTGTGCTCCTAAGCGTTGTAGCATCTCTCTACCCAATATACTGTAGACTTAAAAATGCTAGGAAAAAGGAGTTTGATTATTTTCAAAACGAACAACAAATGTTTGAAGAAAAAGCACATAAATGATTCTTTGGTGACTTAAGTCATGATGCAGATGATTCAAATGTTCTACAACATACACGTGTCAAATATCATAGGGTACCCCTTAAGTATGAGTAATTTTATCCTTTTATATGTCAATTAAAAATTGCTTTTAACAACAACAAAAGGAATCCTGCTTATCAGTGGTCAAGCTTGCTGAAGCTAAAACTGTGAAATTTCAACTTCAACTCCATCAAAGACCCCAGAGAGCAGATTAAAAAATTAGAGGTAGCATATGCAACAAGCTTCTCAGCTAAACAATAACCAGATAAACACATACACGCACGCACGCATGCACACACGCACATGTGCGCATGCATGCACAATACATTCATGCATACATATGTAAATGGAGACTGTACATGCATTTCCGGCCACCCAGATCTGAATAATCACACTAATACTATATTAATTACAACACTGCTTGGCCTATTAGCTCGGGCTTCTTATTAACTAACTCTTACATCTTAAATTAACCCATTTCTATTCATTTGTGTATTGCCATGAGGCTGTGGCTTACAAGAAAGTTTCCAGGCATCTGCCTCCTTCGGCAGCTACACGGTATCTCTTTGACTCTGCCTACTCTCTCTCTCGATATCTCTTCCAACCTGGCTATAGTCTACCCTGCCATAAGCCAAAATAGTTTCTTTATTGACAATGGTAATAAAACACATTTACCGCATACAGAGGGGAATCCCACATCATACATACACAAACACATATGCATATACGCATGCTCACATGTGTACTCACACACATTGACAAATACACACACCAGAATTCACATACACACACACACACACACACACACACACACACCCCAAAAAAATATGTCCCTTGGAAACAGTGAACTTGTTATTTTATGAGAAATAGGGAATCTGAAGTTGTGCTTACATTTATGATCTCGAGATCAGGAGGTTACCCTGATTTATTCAGGTGGATTAAATGCAATCACAAGTGTTTTTATTAGATAGGCGAGAAAGTCAGAGTTGGTGGAGCAATGGAATAAGGTAAGTGCCTGAGAGCAGGCAACTCCTAAGTGCCAGAAAAGATAAAGAATGAGTTCTAGCTTGGACTTTCCAAAAAAAGCTTCGTCTGGTAAAAACCTTCTTTTGAACTTTCAACTTGCAGAACTTGGTGAAAATTCAGATCTGCACTGTTTTAAGCCATGTTGTTTATAGCAGTTTGTTGGAGCATCAGCAAGAAGCTAGTACCATTGACAACACTTGACTTTAATCTCTTTTCTATTTTCTCCTTTACTATTTCCCCCATCAAAAAAAAACAATGCAGTGACATTTTTGAAATAATATTTTTATTTTCTCTTCTGGTGGGGAGCTCTGTGAAATCTCGCTCATTCTCACTTGCCGTGATGTTATAGATAATTGCTTCTTTGAATTTCTAAATAAAAATAGAATGGATATGTTTTCTATAGAAAGGGGAATTCACTTACGATACTATGAGGTTGGCGATGTAGCTCAGTTGGTAGAGTGCTTATCTAGCATGCACAAAGGCCCAGGTTCAGTTCCCAGCACTGTATTAACCAGATGGGCCAGTAACTCCCATAATCTCTGTACTTAGGAGGTGGCAGCAGGAATGCCAGGAGTTCGAGATCATCCTGGGCTGCATAGGGAGTTCAAGACCATTCTGGGGCTCCATGAGATCCTGTCTCAAAAGCAAAACAAAACCCAGGCAGCATTCTGGGTAGTTTGTACATATGACCCTGCCTCTAGTTCTCAGTCAAGGGTGCTGAGGGTCAAAGAAGCTACACTACTCATGTGAACTGAGCACCAAAGCTGGAGCCCAGGGCATGGGACTCAAACTTTCAACTCCTCCCTCTAAGACTATGTTGCTGCTAAAGTGCTCACACAAAGTAATAAAAACACCAATGGTATAATCGGTCAAGATTTGGAAGAAATGGTCATTTAGGAGGCAGGCTTCATACCCTGAAAGGATAAAGGTGAAAGGACAACTTGACTTTTGAAACCTTTTTGAAGGTGTCATCATGAACCCTCCCAACTGCTTCTTCTCTGGGGTGAAAACCAACTGACAGTGCATGTCCCAACTCTGATTTCTTTCAACTCTCCTTGTAGGGGTGTTTGCTTTTGGACTTTTTGCTACTGACATTTTTGTAAACGCCGGGCAAGTGGTCACTGGTCACCTCACACCCTACTTCCTGACAGTGTGCCAGCCAAACTATACCAGTACAGACTGCCGGGCACACCAACAGTTCATCAGCAACGGCAACATCTGCACCGGGGACCTGGAAGTGATTGAACAGGCGCGGAGGTCCTTCCCCTCCAAGCATGCTGCTCTGAGCATCTACTCCGCTTTATATGCCACGGTGAGTACGGGGATCTGACTGTCTCCCCAAGTTGAAATTTGATAATCCTTCACTTAACACCCTCCCAGTTTCTAGGTGGGACAACTACGGCCTCGTGAGTGCCGAAGAGCTGTGGCCAAGCTCCTGGCAGGGTGTGGGATTCCGCCACCACTGCCACAGTTTTAGCTGGTTCCTCAGCAGCCTTTCTTCTTTGTGTCTACCTGTAGGTTTTCGAGTGTGGACTTGGGCGCGTGGCTGGCATCACAGTACACGGGCCAGGATTAAACATATGTATCCTGCCCTCTTGTAACTTTCTTTACTGCTTTGTTAGGAGCTGGAAAATTCTAGAATTTAAGACCCCAAACTTCACTTCTCACTTCTGCCCAGATAACATGACCTTTGATCATCTAGGGTCATGACTTAGCAGAACAAAATTTATTTTTAATTATCAATAATAATAGTAGTAGTAGTTATTAATATTATTATTGAGTATTATTATAAATAATGTTACTAATTATTAAAATTGTTGTAATTAATTAATTAGCTCTCATCAGAGGAAAAGTGATGGTATTTTCTTATTTTTCTATGTTTTAATTAAAGTCCATGTTGGAAATGTTATATTTTATCTTTGGTCTAGCTTCCTTTGAACCCAGAACTCAGAAGCACGACTGTTGGCTTGGACACACACACAAACCGATTCCACAGATCACTGGTGTGTTTTACCAATGGAAGTAGTCATTGCGCAGAGAACCCATTAGTGAGTCCCGGTAGGGCAAGGAGAAGGAAGACAGAACTGTCTCCTTTCAAACCACCCAGATATTCTTACTCCTCATCTTACTCCCTCAGCCCCATCTGCAGGGGACAGCATTCATTCTCCAGCCAGCCACTGCGGGAGGCGCATTCTGGCTCTGTGCCGCTGAGTCCAGTCCTGTCATCAACTGGGCCTCAGCTGCAGATGTGCAGGCAGACATGAGACTACTGTTCTGCTCTGGAGCCACGCTGCACATCTGGACCACCCTGAGGTCCTCTTCCTCGAGGCTCGAGACAGGTGGTGCTGCTGATCCACAGCTCACCTCTGGTGCTCCTGACCATCCCACCTAGGCATTGGGAGTTTCCTAGTTAATCCTTTGGGATCTTCTCTGTAATGACTACATGTCAGAATAAACCCAGCTACCCCCACGTTAAGGAAGCACAAATGCAGAGAATACAGATCTGCTGTCTCCCGCTTAAACATCTTTCTTTCTTTCTTTACAAAACAAAGGAGGGAAATAAGCCAGGAATCCTCTGGGGCACTTAGTGTGTTTTCTCATTTTCAGAATATTGATTTGTTCCTAAATGAGCTAGAGCATCATTTATATAAAGCCATGTGCTTCTGCCACCCGCTTTCATCTTTTGATCAGATTCAAGTCACCACAGTGTGAAATTAATCTTGATAATGCCATTATACAAATAAATCGGTAACTTAAGCCAGTGTGTCATCTTCAAATGAGACCTAAATATCGGTGGCAGCAGGAAGAACCAAATATGGCAGGACACACGGCACATGCAATGCAGGCATCATCCGAAGATTCAGTTATCAACCCATTCAAATCAGGTTTCACACTCAGTTAGATATACCCGGATACAACATTCCAACCGGGTCAACAATTTCTGTTGTGTGCTAAATCATGCTTTCCGGATTACTCAAGACTGATGGATATGCTAATTGCCAGGGCTTGACCTTTCCATGCTGCATAGAGGTACTGAAACACTACACGGTGCACATAAATATCTGTTGGAGGAAGCCCCAAAATAATCACACAGAAACTGTATTATTTAAATCACTGCTTGGCCCATTAGCTTTAGCTTCTTATTGGCTAGCTCTTACATATTCATTTAACTCATTTCTAGTAATCTGTGTATTGCCACATGGCTGTGGCTGACCACGTAACGTTCCATCTGGCTCTGGCGGGGCTCCATGGCTTCTCTCTGACTCCGCCTCCTTTCTCCCAGCATTCAGTTTAGTTTTCCCCACCTAACACTGTTCCCCTATAGCTCTGCTATAGGCCCAAAGTAGTTCCTTTATTAGCCAATGATATTCATAGCATACAGAGGGGAATCTCACATCAAATATCTGCTATTGTTATGTGCCAAATAGGAAGAAAATGCTAATAAAAACATTATTCAACAGTTGCTTCCTAAGTACCAGTTAATATGGCGAAGGATACCAGCCAGGGGTCTGTGTTCTTAATGGTTAATATTTTTATGGGAAAGATCCATAAAAGACATACTTAGAAAGCAATATATAAGCATTAAAAATCAAATTGAACAAATATATTTGCATTCAGCATTTTAAGTAACAATTTCCACCATGTCAGGATACTACAGTATTTTATGATCTGTGTTATTTTGATCTACTGATTTTTGTATGTGCTACATAGGATAAACAGCCTCCTTTATCCCACCAGGATTCATGCTGGTATTGAAGCATCTTCCTATAAATTATCTTCTCATGTAATATTGCCAGATACATCTATGTGAATGTATTTGTGCTCAAGATAGCCAACAGTCTATAGATTATAATCTTAAATAACAGCCTTTACTTGTGCCTTTTTAGAGTTACTGAACTCACCATATTTGATGAGAAATGACGAGACAAGTCTGTAGTCCCTGAACCCACATGGGAAGCTGAGGCAGGATTGTAGCAAGTTTAAGACCAGGCTGATCTATGTAGAAGTTCATCCAAAAGGAAAAAAAGAGAAATGATGGGTCACTAGTGTCCTCTGCTGGTGTATTACAGCAATTACAAAAATGATGATGTCATTTGCTAGAAGCAGGTTTCTTAATTCCGGACATCAGGGGTGATAATGACATTTGACAACAACAGCCCACATTTCAAGTGGCAGTGAGCACATCTTTTATCTGGTTCAGGTCCCTCCCTCTTTCACATAGTGTGGCATACAGGAGAGTTGAATGTTTTAAAACACTCTGAAGTAGACAGATGGATAGAACAGATCACAGTTGTCCCTGATGCGAGAGCCAACTTCCAGAACAGCAGTGAGTGACCCGTAGTCAGGATTGGGCCATTCAAATTAGGCCCATTGGTTAGCAGGTGAACAATTTCATAGCATGGTCCCAAAGTCTGCAGAAGCCACTAGTACTGTGAGGAACAGCAAAATGTATGGTGTGAAGTCTCTCATCTCCCTGATATCCTCTGCTACAATCTCGTTCAATGAAAAGGTTTAATTGATACCCAGGATTTTAAATAGATTTTTAAACAGCAATCACACAATTCTCTGGTTCTTTTACGTAAAAGTTGTGTGTTCTGAAACCAGCCATTATTCTTCGGCAATTCCTTCTGTCAATATAGCTTCTGTTCACACACTCACTATGATGTGAAAGTGACTATCGACCACATGTTCATTGTCACTGCTGAACTGTTTCCTGTCTAACTAACTAGCTTCATGAAGCTGTCCAAGGAGACGTAGGACAGCTGCTAAGGTTCCCTTTGTCAAGGCCTGTTTCTGACCTGGCACATGAGTGCCTTTATGTGGATGCAGCAGGACAAGGACTGCCTGCAACTCACTGGTCTCTCTCCCTCTGCAGATGTACATCACAAGCACAATCAAGACCAAGAGCAGTCGGCTGGCCAAGCCAGTGCTGTGTTTGGGGACCCTCTGTACCGCCTTCCTGACGGGCCTCAACCGGGTCTCAGAGTACCGGAACCACTGTTCCGATGTGATCGCCGGCTTCATCCTGGGCACCGCAGTAGCCCTGTTCCTGGTAGGTGGGCCTTCTCTCCCTTTCATCCCTTTTATGTCCTCTGGGTAAAGCCACAATGCATTGAGTTTCCAAGATTCTAGTCTGAGTTATTGTTCCTCATTTCCCTGTCTTCAGAGCTGCAACTGTCCAGAGAATATGCATGCATTTCTGCAAGAACAGAATCAAAGTACCTTCCTTTGGGAGGTCTGACTGACCATGTGTATTGAGTGAAGGAGAATACTATCCCCAAGAAAGAGGTCCGTATTTTTCTTCAAGCTCTCAGCTTGGCCAGGAAGAGAAATAACATGGTACACGCTCAAATGAGTGTTCTAGTATTGACAGTCAGTGTCCTGGGCTCAGGAGCCACATGTTTCTAGGCAAAGGACAGAGGGTGAAGACCACTAGTAGGTCAGGCTCTCTCCTACAGCACTGAAAAAAAAAAACTGGACATGGACCCAGACCTGTCTTCGTGTACATGTATCTCCTCTCACAAATACAGAAATATGGAAAGCCTGCAGCTAACCACTTGCCTTTTAGAGGCCTCTTGGTATTTTATTTCAGCTAAGTGGCATTTGCATTTGACCTCCCTGAAGAATGTTAGCAAACATAGCTGCTGCCTCCGTGTCTTCACAGCCCTGAGGATGTTTTAGTTCTTCGAAGAGATGGACACCTATTTACGTGCTCATCTGGAAAATCCCTTAATCTGGCTTAGCCTGGAAAAGAAGAATCTGTGCTCATTTTTATCTTGTTTTATCCAGTTTCACTGAAGTGTGGTAGGATATGGTGGTACACACTGTCTGATTTGATGACCTTGGCATCTCTGTTGCTTTTTCTTTCCCCTTCACCTCGGGCAACTATAGAGGTTTAATTTATTTTTCTAGTTTTCAATTTCACATAAAATCACATAATATGTATCTTCTGGCATTTTACTTCCATGATAATTTTTATCTGGAGACACATTCATGTTGTAGAATGCAACAATTCATTTCTTTCTATGGCTCTGTAATATTATATTTCCAGGACATACCAGAAAGGTGCAGTTTTGTTCTTGGGTTGGTTGTTTTAACAACAGGTCACCAGGCAGATAAACTCACATACTCTACATAAAATAAAACCACTGTCAATACTAAGATCCTTCCCAAAGAAGAGAAGTCACTAAAATCCCCAGGGACCTTCTACCCATCCCATCCTGCCCTTTATAGTTCAAGGCCCCTTAAGACTAGCATCACACATTTTATACTCATCTATTCCTGTGACTTAACTCTTTTTTTCCTTTCTACTCTAACAAAGCAATACACGTGTGACTATCCCAGCCTCTGTCTCAGATGACCAGCTGTTTTTCCTGAGAATGTTCACACACTTTTTTAGAACACGATCTGTTGTCCCTCAGCATTCCCTCCATCAGCTTCCACCTTCTTTTTTATACTGGGAGAAGAGGAGAGGCTGGGGGGCAAATTCTCTAGGTGAAGTCACGGAGGAAGCACTGGAATGCTCCATGATGCTGGTAGCTCATTAGAGAGAAGCCCTGGGAAAGATTTTGAAAGAAAGCAGGAATTACATGGAACCTCAAGAAAACAGCGTGTTTCCCAAGGGAGCTCGCTGGCACATAAACAAAGGCAGGCTCGGAAGAAGAGTCGAACGTCTTAACATCCAACAACACTAGAGCGCACTATCCCCAGCCGAGAAGAAATGGCCGTGTAGACTGCCCACACAGTTGCATGGAGTCTGAGGGATGATGTCCATGAAAGCCTGTGGGCTGCTGGGCGCCATGTGCAGATTCTGCCTTAAGATTAAACTTGCTTTTTCTTAGTGGGTTGCAGTTTTTCCCTACCCCTCGGTTATTGTTTAGTCTGGTTTTGACAACAGTTGTCAGTTTTGCATCCATCTGATGGTTTTTACTTAAAACTCCAGATCTGTTTCTGAATTGCTGCCTGCTCACTTGCATGCATATATCTACACACACCTCAGAGACACACATCAATCTGGGAACAGGAAGGAGAGTGGAGTTAGAGGGAGAGTGGAAGTAACCAGAACAGATATGTGGGGAGGAGACAGAGAGAAGCAAAAACCGAGGATGTTGACATAATCTTTGTTCACCTTCCATACTGCTATCAGTATCTGTTTCCCACGAGGAATAACACAGGGAAAGAGGAAGGAAACTGTTACCTGAGCAATTACTGCATGCCCTATACTACAAATACCTCAAATTGCTTGTTCCTAGGGCACCCAGCAATAGTTTGTCTTCATTTCATTGTTCAGGAAATTTAGCCTCAAAATATATAAGACTCAGACGCCTTCACCTTCTACCATTTCCTAAAAGGTCAAAGTTTTAAGCATAGCTGTAGTGTGAGGTGAAGGCGAGCCAGGTAAAAATATTTGTGTAAATTTTCTGTATGGTTTGAAAAATTACAGGAAAGTTTTAATATTAGGCATATAAACAAAGGTGCAGAATAACAAGAGAAATTATAGAAAGATGAAGATTAATTCAACACAGGCAGAGAAGATAGTAAAAATTTATGACTCAGGAAGGAAGTAAGAAAAGTAGACAGTCTTTCACAGGAAACTTTTTAATGGAGAGATAGATAGATAGATAGATAGATAGATAGATAGACAGACAGACAGATATTGCTTGTGAGCTGCTTAAGCCAAATAAATAATAATGACATAATTTGACTATGATCATTTTAGGCAGAAGTTAAACATCAGCCACTATGGGCTCAGTGCTTACTGTGTTTGATACTCAAGCAGCAAAATAGTCTAAGTGATGGGATTTTGAGGGATTTAAACTCTACCTGTCCAAGCTGGAGAGACTAGTAGCAACTCACTTCTTACTGTTGGAAATGGTTGACTGGATAAACAAAAGTTAGACACAACCCCCAGGACACTGCCAGACACACAGAAACCCTTGTCCGATGTTTGCTGTGATTATGAAATGCCTTACATTTATCACACTGTCACAAATCTGTATGGTTAAAATTCCCAGTCCCATTTGGCAGCTGAAGAGATGAGCTCTGTGGAGTGGGCCGCCTGTCCCCAGCTACCCGGTGAATTTGCCTCACCAGGACATGCAATGTGCTCAGCACACACTTCAAACCTCCCTTACTCTTGGTCTCCCATAATTCCAAGAAAATACGTCACCTTCATGATGATATCAAGGACAGTGGCCTGCCACACTCAGAGATGACAAGACATTATCTGCTGGAGTCTGACCCTAATCTCTGCCCCGCCCCCTCATCCTACAGGTAATGTGGTTCACAACGTCCCACTGGAGTGTGACTCCAATTTCTCTTCTTCCCCATCTTACAGGGAATGTGTGTGGTTCATAACTTTAAAGGAACACAAGGCTCGCCTTCCAAACCCAAGCCTGAGGATCCCCGTGGTGTGCCCTTGATGGCTTTCCCAAGGATAGAGAGCCCTCTGGAAACCCTAAGTGCACAGGTATAGTAAAGTGACTTGAGTGAGCAAACCCATGACCTTGGCAGGTTGTCTGTTTAATCCTGAGGATGTGCTTAGTGTTGTTCAAATTAAACCCAAGCAGCTTTAGGGTACTTTGGCCTCTCATGTACAATCAACATTCATGAGATTTGAATTATTCATGGGAAGTCGGTGTGATTAAGAACTGAGTTGTTTCTTGTGCAGTTCCATTTCCCTTTGTGACAGAGTATAGGGGTCCAGATTTTGGGGGAATACAGAAGTTCAAGGTTCACAAATTCCTTTTGTAGCATGACGTAATGTTTGCATGGAGCATATGCAGAATTCGTATGTGCATTTATCTCACTTTACTTGCGATGCCTATGGCAATGCCAACACTAAGTAAATAGTGTTTACTGTCAAGCAGGACTGTTGAGGGAATGCCGACAGAAAAACAGTGCTGTACACATTTAATTTCCCAGATACTACCATCTGTGATTGCACAGATACGTGGCTCCAGGGCCCACAGATAGATGGAAGGGCAGCTGTGTTTGGAAGGACAAAGATTATGTTCCATATAGTGACTAGTGACAAGCTAGAGGTATAGAAGCTGTCCTGACAGCAATCACAAAGTCAACACGATAGCACTTTTTGGTTAGGTGTTCTCCAGCAAGCCCTTTATCCATGTGTGAAGTCTAAGCAATCATTAGACACATGGCCTTAGCTCTCAAGAACTGTGATGACTGGGAAAAGTGGAATAAAGCTGTCACGGTGTGCTGTGCTGAATGAGGTGCACCATGGGAAAGCACATTATGATAAATGCCTACTCTGAGAGGACAAGGAAAGCCGTGGAAAGAACCATTAAAGAGGTCTAGACAGACAGCACTCAGGGCTTTTGCCATGGCAGTCCCAGGAACATCAAAAGATATTCTTATGTGAACAACAGCATATAGAACAGGCATTAACCAGTGCCCATGCCCTTGATAAGAACTAAAATACTGGAGTCAGCGCAGTTAAACTACTTACCCCAGGCTACACAGCTGGTGTGTGTGTGGGGGGGGGGGGGGCAATGAACAAATATTCTTAAGTAAACAAGAGAACAACAATTTTTTAAAAAGTCTTTCTAAAACGTTTGATTCGAACACCCTTCTTTTCAGGCATCTGGAATCCTACTAAACGAAATGTTTTCTGAAATATTCTGCTCGTCTTGAAATATAAGGAGTAGCACTGTACTTCCTGTTGGAATTATCAGCTATTTCTCACTAGTTAGATATTGACTATCACAAGCTCTTCTCTGTCTTTTGAGCTTTAATAATGTCTAATTTCATTAGTGAACCGGGAGGTGGGGGAAGCAATAAAACTCTTTGTCGTTTTGAGAAACTATGTATTTTACTATTAAACTCAGCACCAAGCATATTTGCCTTCTATTTTTTTATCTCCCATTTTAATAATCTAATTAGAAATTAACATATGGGGAAAATATTTGATGCTCTCTTCAGACCTCTGCAAGCATCAGGCATGTACTTTGTGCACATAAAAACATACAGACAAACATTCATATACATAAAAAAGTACACTTAAAGAGAAATATTTGCCTGGTTAACACAGACACATCAGTCTGAGTGTGCCTAGTGTCTCCTGAATATTCTGGTCTAAGAACATTGTCCTCCATCTGCCCATCCCAGTCAGGTTTTAGCTTCTGTCTGTGGCTTTTGTCTTTTCCTTCAAGACTATTTGTAATTGACTAGGACAACAGATTCCTAGGACATATTAAGGTTTCACACTTTAAAGTGAAGTACCAAACCCTTTCAGATATGATTCTTTTCCATAGAAATAAAAGATACTTTAGTATCTACACCAAGAATAGCAGTAAGATTATAAATAAATCCGTTGTGCCCTGCAGGTTGGAGCAGAACTTCCCCCAAGCCTGACTCTATGTGTCTATGCATGTGCCTCCTTGTCTAGACAGCATCTGAGGCCTCATGAATAACAAGCTTGGGGAGAAGGCCTTTCTGGGTCCATTAAATGATGGCCCCTTACATTCAGACAGTGCTCCCTCATATGTGTGTGCCTCGTGGAATTGGGAACCTGTAAGAATCAGAATTCTATGGCCCATGTCTTATGTGCCCTGTTTCCTGACATTTACTAAGTGTAGTACAAATGCTGGCTGGTTGGAAGCAAGCCAGAACCAAAACTTCAACTAAATCCCTCAGCCAAACAACCAACAGCCTCAAGTCAGACCAGAGCCATCAGCTCTGCGATTGTTATTTCCACGACAAATACAGATGTGAGCGAAGCAATGAGCAGAAAGAACTTAAGCAGGTGAATCACAATTAGGCTAGAGGAAACTGTGGGAGATGCTGGGCGTGCGGCATAGTCCATGCCAAGGCTGGGAAATTGGAGAAGGCAAGCATTGCTTTTTCTAGAAAATATTTCCACAGAGACGGGGAGATAATACCCTTTCTTTGTTGTTCAAGAAAGAGAAGTAGCAGACAGAGCCCTTTTCTCTGGTTCTCACAGTACCCTACAAAGCAGCATCTTCTCCTGCAAACTCTGGCCTCAGGTGTTGTACAGGAGTCTCTTACCCAGATAGAACCCCGAAGACACTCATTTTGGAAGACTAGTTCAGGTTGAGAGCACAACTCCTGCAGCACATTTTCATACCCAAGCCTGAGAGAGGTAGATTTTGAAAGGGAAGTTTGCCTGAATGAAATATGAGACTGTGTGTCTGACTGATCTCCCAAGACTATGTCTCCACGGTCCTAAAACAAAGATCCAAAATCCTCTACTAATGAAGTGAAAACCACAATTTCCTTAAGTATTTACCAATTCCATGGGACCATAGCTTGGGTGTTTGAGTCTAAACAAATGACAAGACTTTGAAAACCACAGAAGCAAGTTTTGTGAGCAAGATGTGACAGAATTACAAGGAAAAACACACACATCTGGGGTCGTATACTCCAGATACTCTCCAGTTTCAGAAATAAGCAAGCAAGAGAATGCAATAAGGATATAGATGTCTAATAATATTCATCAGACATCAAATTTTCTTGAAAACACTTAATATGTTTTCATAGAAATACATTAAATGATCATGTATAAGATCAGGAAGCAAGTCTTAAGAAATTTGAAGGCCAGTGAGATGACTTAGGAGGATGGCTGAGTTCTCTGGACTCACATGGTGGAAGGAGAGAACTATCTCTTAAAAGCTGTCCTCTGACGTTCACATGTGTGTGCTCACACATTTGTATCCATGGGGACACACACATACACACATAAATAAAATTCAATTTAAAAATATGGAGAAAGGCATTTTAATGGTTCTTCATCATGTAGATCACATTCTCTATAAGTTAACTGAAGTTAACCCCTGTATCCACTGGAAAATATGATTTTTCCCACAGAACTCATAACTCAAAGAATAGGTCATAAGGGAAAGTTTAGTTGGTATTCAATATTTAAAATATTTCAAAGGTATGGAATATAGCTGTCACTTTGAAATCTTGAAATACTTATGTTGAAACAGTAGAAGTGTTTTCATGAAGAAATGATTCTGTTTTGGTTGGAAATGCTGAAGGAAGAGGTAATGGAAGTTGAGGGGTCTTAGAAGAATACACTAAGGAGAAATAATCTTTGGTGCTTTATTGTTTAGGTAGGTGTCATTATTTGTCTGACAGGCAACATGAAGTCGGCGGGTAGAGAGGGAAAGGATCTGGGAAGAACTGGGGGAAGGGGAAAATATGGTCTAAATACATTATAAGGAAAGCTTAAAATATTAAAAATTAAAAAAAAACAAGAGATTGACAAGCTTGTCTGAAAGACATTTCAGGAATGGTGAGAGTTTGTGGAAGTCAAGTCAGCTCAGCTCTGACATTCTACCTGTTGCTTGCTCTACAGAATCACTCGGCCTCCATGACCGAAGTAACCTGAGATGAATGAAGAGAAGCGGCTGTATTTGGTTTCTTTCTCTTTTTTTCAACAACCTTCCAGTTCAATACTTCAGAACACACAGTGACTCAGTCAAACTGTGAAGACAAGTATTATGTTTATCTAGTTAGAGGCTAAAGTTTTGTACATTTTTTTGTATTAAAAAGTGATGTAGCTTGCCCTGATCTTTTTTTGTCAGCTTTAATATATTTATGCCAGAATTTTAAAACCAACAAAGTTTTTCTCTCGTTCAAGTGTGCATTGAAGGATCACATATATTCAATGGGTGATGTTGTTTTTGTGATATTTGTACACAAATCTTTTCTCAGTTTTATAGACAGAAATAAAGTGAGCGACCCACTTTTAACTTTTATCATCACAGTTGCCGCCTCCTCGAGAACCTCTGAATTTTAATGAGAGTTAAACTTTTGAGTGACAGGAAGGACCATGGTGGTTAATTATAAATTTCAAAATCAATCATGGGGGGGGGGGATATTTGGAGAGAACAGCATGTTCTGTTCTGTTAATAGTTAATTGCATTTCAAGTTAAAGTGACAGTGCTAGACTAGTGAAGATTCCTAGTTTACTAATGGCACAGACGCCAATATTGTCGAGGGTTGTTTTGGTTATATGACTCTTTCTTAGTTAATGCCCTTGCCCACCGAAGGAACTCAAGGTCGGTCTGGAGTTTTGTCCTTGGGCAGGCAGGTGACCCTGTAACCTTCGATCCAAAAGAGCAGCTAACACCAGCCTTCCCTGCCAACTCAACAGTTTTGTATTCATACTGTATGGACTTTTTATGAAAAAGAATATTTTACAGTTTGCACAGTATTATTTTACAGAAAGGATATCAGAGCATCCACAGCGTAGCGCCCACATCAACATCTTTGCTTGGGAGATTCTAACTGTTCCTGGGCTTTAACTGCATCCCGTTTTCTAGCATGGTGATAACGTGTCGCTCCTTTGAGAAGGAGTTCCCTATCTGTATCTATCAAAATGTTTTCTTGAGACATCCATGTCAGCTCTTCTTAGCTTTTTTTTGTACATATTTTTTTTCTAAATAGAAGAAAAAAGTTATCATAAAGTATATTCTGACTCATGTCCTTTGTTTGACCTTTCACTCGGTGGTGTTTGAGAAACCATGGAGTGATCCGCAAAGGTTTGCTTTTCATTAGGGTTCATTTTAATCACAGCCGATGAAATGAATGAACTAGGGAGAGAGAGTGAATGGGGATGGGTATGCAGTGTGTGCATGCATATGTGTTTAGATAAAATGAAAGAAGTCTTTAATTTATTAATATATTCAAATGTACTTCCTGGATTCCCAGTGTGATACCTTAGTCTTCAGGCATGCCGTGGAACTTCTGAGTTTTCAATAAATACTTACTCTTCTTTTAGAAATGGAAGTTACCTCTGCTAAAACTTTCCTTGGTTCCATTTCCTCAACAGTTTCCCCAAACTCTCTTAGATACATTCATATATATCTTCTAAGAAATGTCTGAGTAAAGTTGGAAAAAAGAGTGAGTAGTTGGGCTCTGTTCATCCCTTATGCTAAACTACCTGCCCCACATCTATAATGCAATCTGTTGTTTTCAGTGCAACACACCCAGGGACAATACACAAAGCTAAAACACTGTGATATACATCAGTCCAAGCACTGTGGTCCAGCTCTGCCTAGTTCTTATTGCCATTCTTTCTGTTATATGAAGACACCTCTGAACCAAGTTAAGTTCTTTTTGGTGTGATATGTCCACTTAGATGACCCATGAATGCTATAGAGGAATGGAAATCCTGAGAGAGAATTATTTGCAATCTCTGACCTCTCTCTAATATGGGAAGTCCTTCTGTCTATGTGTTGCTCTTATTGGTATTGAATAAAGAAAGTGCTTTGGCCTATGATAGGGCAGAGTAGAGGTAGGCAGGAAAACTAAACTGAATACTGGGAGATAGAAGGCAGAGTCACAAGAAGCCATGGAGCCACCAGAGGGGAAAGACTCGAGCTGCTAGCCAGAACCTTGCCAGTAAGCCACGAGCCTTGTGGTAAAATATAAAATAATAGAAATGGGTTAATTTAAGAAGATATTAGAGTAAGCTAGAACTATGCATAAGCTAATAGGCCAAATAGTATTGCAAATAATATAGTTTATAGTTATAGTTTCTGTGTGTTTATTACAGGACCGGCCATCACAGAAACCTCCGCCAACATCTCTCCTCTCCTATGAGCTAAATGTAGTACCACCCAGTGTCAGGATGACTCATTTTATTACTTTAGTAGTGCTTCTGATTACACTTACGCTGCTTCAGCGGCCTCACATTGATCATTATCCTCCATCTAGCTTGTGAGATTCAGTGCTCAGGTTTAAACTTCTCTGCTTGCATTTGCTGCCAAGGACAAAGCTCTCTGTCCAAATACAACAAGCAGTGACTATGGGCTAAGAGAAACACAAATTCTGCAGTGAATTTTTCTTCCTCTTTTTATGATGTAAAAACGGCTGAGAAAGTCAGGCTCACTGTAGAAGACGACTGGAAAGAAACAAGACTAATAAAGTGTTTGATGTTGTACAACAATGAAACTCTTAACCGTAGTGATATTTTATTTGTATTTTAACAAAGTTTGCCTGTAGATCAGAGCACAGAAGTAAGCCACTGGAGGTCAGGCAGTGGTGGCACACACCTTTAATCCCAGTATATGGGAGTCATATGCCTTTAATCTCAGCATGAGAGAGGTGGAGACAGGAATGATATGGCTGGGTGCAGAGAGGAACATAAGGCAGAAGAGACAGAAGCTCAGTGCAGTCTGAGGTTTGGTGGAGATCCAGGCAGTCTGAAGCAGTCTGAGGACAAAGTCTTCCCTTAGGTCTGAACACTGGTAGAGGTAAAAGAACTCTCTAGTGGCTGGCCACCCTGCGCTCTCGTCAGGCAAACTTTATTTGTTAAAATATAAATAATGTATCCCTACACTTAACCTCATGGACATCCATGCTTTGATGACATGCCCATTACAGTAATTGACACAGAAAACATTTTGTTAAAGTTTACCCAACAAAGAGATGCCAGATTTCTCCCTGACTTGGCTGAAGAGAGACTGTGGTTTATTTGGAAATAAGGGGACATTTAATGGGGCCAAAAATAGCTTTAAAAAATTGACATGCTTAGATACAGAGGTAATAATGGCAAAGAATGTGCCCCAAGCAGTTATGACTTGTGAGTGTCCCCTTGGTGAGCTCTGAAGATCCTTTTACTAGGCTATGATGGGCAGGAAGACTTGGCAGCTCCAGCATTTGGAGAAAACAAATATCCTTAATCTGCCCTTGAAAGAAGGGGTAGGTGTCATTGGAATGAGTTAGTAAGAACTATGATTGATATTTATGCTTTAAAAATTGACTTTATTCCCTATAACCACCTGCAAAAAGTGATATCTTAAAGGCAGACCCATCAAATACCCAGTTCTCCAAATTTATCTCAAGAACCGGGTCCCACTAATACTGCAATAGTGAGGAAGTACAGAAAGAGTAGAAAGAAAGAAAGAAAGAAAGAAAGAAAGAAAGAAAGAGTAGAAAGAAAGAAAGAAAAATGAAGTTCTATGACCAAATTTAGCCTGACTTCTTTTTCAGATACTTTTTGAGAATCTAGAATAGAATTAAACCTTTGTTTACAGTAAATACATCTTAACTTTCCCTGCAGCCCTAGGGGCCTTGGGCTTTCCCTCCTCATCTGCAATCCCATCAAACACATATGGAGAACCACCCTATGAGCTCATTCATGGAAAAAGATTTTTTTAGTAGCCCCTTGAGAGGTAACTTCAGAAGCCACCAATACTAGCGTATGCAGCTACTGTACAGAGACTTAACGTGATTCTCTTTGGGAAGTCCACGATCTTAAGTATGTCTTACTTTCTTCCCAAGGTACCTCTCTTTTTAAGAACCTGTTCTAAGATTGGGTTGAAATGTCTTCTAAAAGCTTATGAAATGGAACCATGGTCAAATGGGCTTGCTGTCAAGTCAGATGATCAGTGTTCAATTCTGGGAACCACATGGTAACAGAGAATTGATTCCCAAGGGGACACCTCCACACGTCTATCTTCACTTGTAAACACACACATAATACATTTTAAAAGTTTGTTTAATACCCCCTCATTTCTGCTTCATACTGGTTCACCCTGAAATTCCTTCCTGGGCAAAGCCAAGCATCCGGTTTCACTTGAGTGGAGTTTCCTAAAAGATAAGGAAGTCCTCAGTGTACTTCCTGTGGTCACTGTCTAGATTAAGGAGAGAACCGGACCATGAGAGTCAAAAAGCAAAGCTTTATTCAAGGTCTCTAAGGCTGTAGGGTACCAACTGTCGGGCTGTGCCCAAGAGAAAGAAAATCAGTCCTGCCAAAAGGAGTCTGAGTTTTATAGGGTGCTTTTAGATGGGAGTGTGGTGGTAGAGTTAAGGAGGAAAAGGAAACTTCAACAGGCAAAAGCAACTGCAGTAAGCAACATTTTATGGGTGTGGGGGATTGCTCTTGCTGTTAAAACAGCAGGAGGCTGTGGTCAAGCTGTTCTGCTCAAACTAGAAGGCAGCAGACTTCTGAGAAGCGTAGAATGATCAGTTTCTATTTTCCTGAAGGGGCTGGGTCCCACATCTTGATGCCTTGGTGACTCCATCGTGGGCCAGCCTAACAGCCACCATGCTGACAATACTATTCTTGCCGTAGTAAATACTACGTGTGCACAAAACTATTCTGCTACTTACTGTCATTCTCTAGACTCCATGACTATTTTGTAATGAACACCAAAACTTTTACTGACATCCTACTTCTTGATCCAGCCTGGGCCAGCTTTGATCTGTGCCTTCAGACATATTTAATGAACATCTATTATATACTCAGAATTGTGCTAATAACTAGGGATGTACAGCAAACTAAGTAGACCAGCTGCTTTTTTTCATGGGTTTGAGTCAACGAAAGGAAAAAGAATATACATGTAACAGGCAGGGGTCGTGAGGGTCGTCTAGGGCACTTCCAAGTGTGTTTCCTTGGACAAAGAACAGAACTTCAGGAAATAGAGGACCGAGCTATGTGAGAAATGCAAAAGCAACCACTTTATGCCTTCAGAATTGAAGAGGCTCTACAGCTGGGAGTCTAATAAAAAAGATGCTGGCTTGAGTATTTTATAAGGCCCCAGGGTTCCCCTCTTTTCTCTGTTGGTCCTGTTTGGATACCTACCCATGAGCCTTCTTGCCATGCTTTTCTTACAAGGACTTCTAGGAACAGAAAGCTGTCATCCCGGGCAGCCCAGTTACACTCCTCTTGTCTACCTGTGTCCCTCTAGCTCTTCTCCAACATCCCAAAGCCTTTAATAAAAAGTGACTTGAAGGGATATTTAAGTTGGATGGGAACACCGGGGCGTGAATGAAAAACAGAAGAGGCTGCAGTGACACACATATGCGGCTACTTAAATAAGGGATGAGTAGATAGAATGCATATATAAAAAAATATCAAGGCGTCAGAGAGATGGTTCACATCTACTTGTAGCTCTAGCTCCAGAGGGATCTGATGCCTCCTTCCTCCACGAAGACGTGCACTCAGGTGACTATACCCACAGACACACAGAGAAACACATAAGTTAAAAAGTACATAAGTGAATCCGCAAAAGAACATGAAACCAAGAGAAAGCATATATAAGGGGGTCTGATGATGGAGGAAGGTCATTGCCTAATAAAGGAACTGCCTTGGCCCATTTTATTGGTTAGAGGATAGGTGGGAGGAGTAGACAGAACAGGACGCTGGGAGGAAGAGGAAGTGAACTCACTCTCGACAGCTCTCCTCTCTGGAGCAGACGCCTGAGAGAGACGCCATGCCCTGCTCCTGGGATGAAGCTCTGACCCAGGATGGACATAGGCTAGAATCTCCCCGGTAAGCGCACCTTGGGGTGCTACACACAGATGATTAGAAATGGGCCAAATTAATATGTGAGAATTAGCCTAGAAGAGAATGGATCAAGCAGTGTTTACATGAATACAGTTTGTGTGTTGTTATTTCGGGGCATAAGCTAGCCAAGCAGGCAGCCGGGGTGCTGGGGACGCAGTCCCGCCGCCCTTATTACTACAGTCTGAGGCATGAAGCAACTTTATACACATGAAGACTTAAAGGAAAATTAATGATTGTGGAATTTGTTAACTGGTCGTAAGAGACATTTGTTATGTCAGAGAGCATGGAGGTCTTCTTATTGTTCCAAACTTTGAAATTTATCCTGATGTAACAAGAAGTCATCAGTAAGCAAACGAATGCCACCATCAGACTTGTGTTTTTTAAACTTTTT